CTGACGTAATCTATCGGTTTAAAACTACTGCAATATAGCACATATGATATATCAATTTGAAGCTTAAACTTTGACAAAAATAATTGTATGAACTTTTATTAATATTTATAATACGAAATGATTGCCTTTTGTAGCAAAAAATTAAAAGGAATAATGATTTTTGATTTGGAATATTGCCAATTTTCACGTAAAATGTCTAATAAAATTTGATGACATTAAAGTATTGGAAATAAGTATGATATATCAGTTTGAAGATGAATGTAGACTAATTCTTCGTTAAAAGCAAAGATTCAACCAACTTATGCTTTAGTTCTATTTTAGTTCTATTCTCTAGTGTATGGCCCTATTTTGTGTTAGTTTTAAACAACTTGTAAAATACTTTCTTTCAGTAATACTTAAGTATGGTCGTTAGTTAATGGAGATTTTTCATACTCATATTTCAATCATTTTTACAGTGCAGTATCTGATAAAAAATTATTTAAATTGAAAAGTTAGTTATAATTAATAATTGAATTAATAACTAATAAATAATAATTGATAATTGAATTAGTAACTAACAAATCATAATTAATAATTATTAATTAATCGTATTTAATAATTATATAGAAATTAACAATTGAAATCAGATAACATCGATTATCGAAAAATTACTTGTCCTAATATATGACTATACGTGATTCCGAGTAAGATTTGGATAGTACAGTATAATACGTTTACATAGTGAGAGGAAGTAAATAAGAGAAAGCAGAGAATATTAACGTAAAAAGTTAGGTATCAAAGTCACCAATACGCGATAGCTGTCGTCAAAGTGCAAATAGACACATTTAGATACCAACTATCTGTAATGTTCTCTATTCTTTCTCTTTCTCTGTGGTCAATATGTTTCTTATAATCACACTTGGAATTCGCAGCTTCATAAACAGAAACCATATTCACCCCTAATAAAAAATCATCGCTTCGCGACGGAGGTTCATAATAAAATAAATTACCACGGTGACCGCACGTCAATGAAATCTTCTTGAATTTTTATCGTTTTATACCGTCGTAAATTCTTCGCGCGAGTAGCTGTTACGAAATACGTGCGTTCCGCGTACAGAAGAGGGCACTCGTGATCGTTTCTCAGGGATGTCTGATTGATTTAAATCGTGAAGGGGTTAACCAAGCACAGCATCCAGAAAAATAGGTTGGTAAAGAAAGGAGAAAGGGTGGCTCCCTATCCCTGATCCCAAAATGAAAGGTACACTGCCTTTCATAAGCGAGGGAAAATTGAAATAGTTGATCACAATTTTAAAATTTTCAAAGAAATAATAACAATCTTATATTATATTTATATCTTATTACATAACGATTCTTACAGTATTCACAAATTTATTAAGAAACTGTTATCTGTTGCTAGTAAATGAGTAGTAAATTATTTTTACTCGTATTTAATTAAAAACACTTTCTTTTAATATGTATGTGTAATGCACTGAAAAAAAAGCTTGAATCATTTTAATCACTATAATTTTTTAAATATCTTATAATAATAATGAGGAGAGTCACTTCATCCACTTATCAGTATTTTTCAATACACTCAATGTTTAAGAATCGGAAGAACAAAATGTATTTTAGTTATTTATATTTTTATACATATAAATGATTACAAACACATAACGAAGTGTTATTTCAATCTAATTGGTTATATTAGATTTGTTAAATTTTACTCTATGTAATCAACAGTTGTAAGTTGCAAGATTGTTACATTGTAAACATAACCTATATAGCATACAAATGGAGATATCGTAAATATATTAAAAAATAATATTTCTACACTATTTTTTCTGATCAAGTACCCCCACTCTCATCTATTATATCACTTATAAAATTTATAAATTTAAAATAAATTATTTAATCTTCCGAAAGTTTGGACATAAACTGCTTTTTGAAAAAAATTGACACTAGACTTCTTATTTTATTAGTATCACTGTTTTCTAATTTTTCTTTTGAATAATTCTTTCTTAGATGCAATGTACAATTTTTTTGCCATAAAAAAATGATCTAAATAATATATACAATCTAATTTTGAATAAAGTACATTATACGAAGTGGATTTGTGTTATAATAGCATGTATTGCGTTACTTTCAAGGTAATCAAATGTGGAATCAATAGTTTTCTGATTCCATAAAGAACATGTTGCGTACAACGTCATTAATATCATTGCAAAGAATTAATAGACGTAATAGATCAATAATTGCCATTAAAATGTGTAAGCAAATACACAATACTGTCAACTTTGTCATTTCCAACGATATCAGTTAATTTGGATTCTATCTAAATGTACGCTAATCCGATAAATTTTGTTTATTCGATTAGAAACAAAGCAATATACAAAACAAAATGTTATGAAAGTGAAATTTTATGGACTTCATGAAAACTGCAAAAAGTTTTTAAATTATCAAACATTCCAATTTTTTTATTTTCATGCTCGTAAGGACACATATGTAAATTTTGCAATGTTTAAATTTCCAAATTTATAATTTATGAAAATTTTCAAATTCTCAAGTTATTAGATCTCTAGACATTTAAATACCCATATTCCTAGATTTGTAAATATTTAAATTCTCAAATTCTTAGATCTGCAAATATTCTAATTTCAAAATATATAGATCTCTATATTGGTGATAAAAACGATACATGAATTAACATTTACATTTGTCTCCATCTAACGGAATTAATCATCATTAATATTTCTTCCTACATTCGCATATTTCGTTTCAATTTTGTTCTCTGATTTTTCCTCACGTAATTTAATTGTGCATTTTTGTAATCGTTCTTGAATAAATAGTTTTCCTATTCTGTATATAATTTATTACGAAACTTTATTCAACCACTGATCTCCTCGCCTTCAACACTCTAATTATCAAAATTTCCAAATTCATAGATTTCTAAATATCCAAATTTCCAAATTCCTAGATTTTTAAATATCCAAATTCATAGATCTCTAAATATCAAAATTTCCAAATTCCTAGATTTATAAATATCCGAATTCCGAAATTCTACCACTTCTCAATCCTTAGAATCCCTATTCTTCTCAAATTCTTAGAATCACAAATTTTTATTTCCCTATATTTGTAAACTATCAATTCTTTAGATTCCTATGCCCGTTTTCAAAATCACGAAATTCCCAAAATACTAGACCTCAAATACCTATATTTTTAAATCCTAAAGTTCCCAAAAGGACCCCAAATGCTTTGGTTCTCAAATCTTAAATTCCTTAAATTCCTAGATCCACAAATCATTATTTTAAAAAATTACTATCTCCTCAAATTTCAAGACCGCCAAATCCATAGAATCCCACACTCGTAGATCCAAAAATCACAAAGTTGCCAAATACGTTAACCTCGAATTTCCTAAATTTCCATAACCATAAAAGCTCTAATCTCAAGGTTTCCAAACTTCTATGTCCCCAAATTTTCAAATTTTACGAAATTATTACAAGTTAACTAGTGAGAAGTCTATTTCACCCTGGTTGCCATATTTTTCGGAGGGAAACCAGATTTGTTCTTGACTGTACAGCGCATCAATGGGCGTGATGGGGTCTCCTTCCCCTACATCGCTATTTCTCCTATGAACTCCTAGCATATTTCGTAGTGTACGTAACACTATGAAGAAGAGAAAAAAGGAAATAAGTTGTTGCCGGGTGCTGTCGAGCCACAAAATATACAGCGGGTACCGAGTCACGTTCTAACACAAGAAGGAAAGGGAAAAAGGAAACAGGGGAACTGGAAGAAAGAAAAGAAAAATTATGGAGAGCGAACCCAAGCAGTAATAATATCAGCGGGTCTTAATGGAGGCATCAACCAATACTTGTGGCACAATTTCATGAGTTTTACGATGGCGTATAACAGAGGTCCCGCGGAGCGGATCAGCCCCTGGCTGGTCCCCTTGGGGGACCCACGTATGTCTCACTGGGACATAAGGGTCCTGCTGAATAACATGTAAAAACGGACACCACGTAATCTTTATGGAAAAATAAGAAAACACTACACAATAAAATTTTTTGTCTTTCGATTCAGTTTTCAGGAAAATCAGGTTTACGTATTTGTTACATTCCTGTACTGTTATGGTAATGTTATTTTCTGACGAGTGATATAAACGTGTATTGTGCTCCATCAAACTTGAAAGTGTAAAAAGACTTCTAAATGGTAATTATGATTGTTAAATAGGACATGTACGAAAGATCACTTATTCACAAAAATCCGCAGAGTTTAGGTCCACGAACTTTTATTTATGATAGGAAATAAAAAAGAAGTATATAATACATATTTCGTATAATATATTTTTTATTAAAATATATTAGAATAAGAATACATTATTTTTACAATTTAATATATTTTTATAATGTATTATTTTTTAATAATAATATATGTAATTAAATGTCAAAATTGAATACTAAAACATAGATGGGACACTATATCATACAAATATATTAATTCAATCGCTATCAAGGACTCAAAACATAAAATATTTAACATACATTTAAATCCACAACAGTCTTTTATTCTAGAACATCAAGTATATGACCTTGTTAATCTAATTAAAGTGGCGCCTGTCGCATATTTTTAAAAAGAAACTTCTCGAATATAATAATTTGGCAATTCACTGTAAAATTAATCAAGACATTGACCACAGTATGTGTAAGTATACCATATTCATGGAAATCGGTAAAATAATATTCAATAAAACTATTTATTATTTCTATTATTTTTAGAAAATATTCTATTATCAATAACAGATGAAATAAAATATTTCTATATTTATTATATAATATTGTAGTATCAATATTCCTAGCTATAACTAATAATTATACATTTCAACACTGTAATCTCTATTAATAATACTACACCTTATTATAAGGTGTATCTATAAACTGTTATCAAAGTATATCGAATTAACGGAAGAAATTAAGAATGATTAATTATGTCGGCGCGATTGTTTTAATGGCTAAATATCTCTGCAGGGGGAAAAAAAAGAAGCGACACAAAGTTAACTGATGGAGCGGCATGTTGAAACACATTAAGTCAACACCGACCAATTAAGAAAAGCCATCGAAGCTGATACCAGAGATACGATCTGATGACTATGAAGGCGTGCACTTGGAAGGAGCAGGTGATGGGTACCATTGTCTTGAGTCATTCAGGCTTCAGAGGCTTATAATTTTTTTTCCGAGATGGCTGATATCATCGATTCAGATCAATATACGTCCACGAGGACATGACCGCTGACAGATTGACTCAACTTTGGTCGGGTCGAATTGAGAGAGGTCAAGATCTTCTGGACAAATGCCACGGAATTTTGTGGCGAAAAAAAATGAGGACGTTCACCTTCAAAACTCTACGTTGTGTTCAAAAGTTAATCCCGAAAACAATGTAACGGGTGAGTTATGTAATATTTTTGTGTTGTTTTTAATGCCGCGAGAAAATGTTTAAGGAAAAAGATATTTGTTTTCGTGAATAAGTTATTGTTATAGGAAATATATTTTTACATATTTCTGATGTGATTTATCATATTCTTCAATTGTATTTCAATTGCAAATTTTTAAATTGGGATTAGAAAAATTTCGAGATTTATGAATATGGCAAACTTGAAATTTAGTGATTTTAAACATTGTGAATTCGGAATTTGGACATTAAAAAACTTAAGAATTAGGGAATATGAAAATTACAAAATTTAGGAATTTGGGGATTTGAAAATTGTAGGATTTGACAATTTACAAAATTTGAGGAAATTGGAATACTTTCAAGAGGGATTTGGGAATTTGAAGGAAGGAAAATTTAGAAATTAAGAGACTTGAAAATTTGGAAATTCTGAAAATTAACAATTTGGAAAATTAAAAATTTTTACTTTTGGAACTTTAGAATTTATAGATTTGAAAACTTGAGGATTTGAGTATTTTAACCCTTAGAAACTATAGAATTTCGTAATTTACAAATTTGAAAATTTAGAACTTTGCAAATTTGAGAACTAGAAAGTTCAGAAATTTTATAGCTTATACATTATAATAAATTTATTCAATTGTAAAATTTTGGAACCTGAGGATTTGAAAATTGTGAAATTTTATACTGAATATTGATAAGAGTACAAATACACCTTAACATTCTTATTCTAATTATTACTAAATATACATATAATGATATGAATTAATAAATATTTACCGCAACGAAATATGTATTGAATTTAATTCAAAGTATAAATTACTGAAATTAAAATTGAACTTTATTAAAACTGAATTTAAATCGAAGTATAAATCTATAAAAATTTGAATTTAATTGATATCAAACTATAAATTTATTGGAAATAAATATAAAATAAATGTGAGATTATAACAAAAATGTACTTTATACGCGTTGATTTAAATTATGTCGATGTAAATTAAACCGAAATCATGGTAGTGATACATACTACGTCTTGCAATAATTATTTTTAAACAGAACATGCGCCACACAAGCAATTTCCAAGAATAAAAGTTTCTTCAGGCAACATTGATCGGAGAATGGACTTCGATGGATGATGCCTAACATACTTTTGATGATCGATGCCTCGCGATCCGACGATTCTAGGGGAGGTTCGAGATGTCAGGTGCTTATGCGACACCGTGTATGTCCACGAGGCAGTAGAAAAGCAAGAATGAAGGAATCTTGTTTTTTAAGGGCAGCCAACGCTATCGCGCCGCCCTCTATTAATCATCTCTCGATGACGGGTACTCGTTCGGTTTCTCACGCATTCGATTCATCGAACTTACATTTTGTGGCGTGCCGTCAGCTTTCTCGTCTGTTATCGAAAGCTGGAGCTACTTTGAGCCTCCTTTGACTCCATCGTGGTACCGCTATCCGATCTCTCACAGATAGTTTACACATAATTGTACACCGATTTGGTAACTGGACGAATTATTAATAAAATACAGTTGTTAATGTTTTTATGATACACGGAAATATGTATTGCTATGTGTCCCAGTTTTTTGCTGTTAAACTATACAGAAACTTGAAAATTAGGAAGTTTCTCACTTTTAGGAAACAGGGAAATCAGGAAATTAAAGAATTTAGGAATTGTAAAGTTGTTAGAAAACCCTGATTGGAATCACTATAAATGTATAACATTCGAAAAATTATAGCTTATCTTAATTTTTTACAAATAGTATGTTACTTATAAAATTTTTAACAGTAAAGCATCTATCTGCTTCACTTTTACTGTTAATTATTACTTACTACATACAACTTTGTATAACCTGAACGTGGACTATAATGTTATAATTTTAATTATATTTTGAATCTACAAATTATCGTAAATTTTTTGTGAACGATCAATTCGAAATATACTAAAATAATACTTACAGATAATCGCCAGTGTAAGCTGAATATAAATTGTAATTGAATTTGCAATTACATACAAATTAATTTAAATCCCAAATTTTACGAGCAAAATATTTGCTCAACCGTATGAACACCCTGTATACCACAACAATTTCGAGCGGAAGGTTCATTGTCTCCAAGCTGACTTGCCGATCCATCAAGTGTCCCAGAAACGCTTTATCTTGTTCCGCCACCGAAAAAGGAAGATAACGAAACAAAAAGAAGAAAAAGGAAGAAAACAATAAGGACCGGGTGAAAGCGAATCTCACAGACGTATAAAGCCGAAATTTAATTTATAATTTCGGAAGTGCTGTAAGAAGAGCCGACGAAGAATCAGGATACGAATGTGGGGTCCGCCCTGTCATCCCTTCGAATGAGCAAACCCCATATGAAACACGCGACTCGTATGATATGAAACTATGTGCCACGTGTACGTACACGCATGTATCGCCAAGACGACCCATGTTCTATCAGTTGGCAGCCATGGGAGCCTTCCAAGGGATCTAAATTAAATTTCACAGCTCGTCAACGAACGTCAGCTTTGTCCGATCAACTAGACACCGCCAACGTCTTTTTCTCTATGCTCGTTATAAGCAGCCATACCTGCGGACCTTTTATCTCAAACGACGGCCAAGTATATTAATTATCAGCGAAGAATATCAGAAATATCTTGCGGACATTCACTTATGTGATGTAAATATTTTTTCACACGCAACCCACGTTGCTAACTATGTTAATACGGTGATTCTCAATTTTGGAAGAATCTCATGAAATTACAACTGTTTCCATATTTAAATACAATAAGCTCGATTTACAGTACCGGTAAACTATCGAAAGTTCATGAAAAATAAAGCGATATAAATGTCCAAGTGGTCAAATGATAAAGGAAACATCTAAGATAAATTTAGTTTTAGTTCATACTAAAATGAAAAATTTCTGCTGCCAGATAAAATAATAAAAATCTACATTTGTGAAAAAATGTATGAAGTTTTAAATTAATTAAAATCTGAAAACGCTTATATGACACAGTAATTAAACAATATTCATGACACAGCACAATTATTAATTATTACTGTCCTATATATTAAATAATAATATTTTATAGAATAAAAATATTTTATTTGTAACAAATTCATTTAATCAATTACAATGAGATTTTTAAAATATAAATTTTCACTGACAACTTGTAATAAAATTCCTGTTTCAAAAGCTTTTAGAACTGTATAAACATTTTGTTATGTTTAATGTTTTCTGTTACTTTTTTCCTTCAATATTTTGAAGAATTCAGGTGACTTTATAATGTACGAAAAATTATTAAAAGTACGTTACAAAAATTTCAAAGAAACCTAGGGCACCAATCCTATTATCTTAAATAGTATTCCTATTCCACCAAAACCAATTTAATCCGCATTCCTCCCAAGTAACATCTTCCCAACTGTGCACAGTAAATACACGAGGAACTCGATCCACTATAAAGTTCACGCGTCACCCAAATTCGGGGTACTTAAATATAAAAAATTAGGAAGGAAAATGAGCAGCCTTCCTGCTTCTCTTAATAGCTTCTGACGTCACAGGCCACAAATTCTGCTCGCTAAAGGGCGCCCGCGAATTGCCCAGGTCTGACCCAACGGATCACAGGACCTTTTCGGCAAGCGACCAGCTCATTACATTGTCTTAAGTTTCAAGTTGTACGAGGATCTCCCGGACAAGAGGTGGGGCCGCAGATGAATATGACGAGGGTGAGGCTATGCTTGATACCACGAGAAGCTGATGTATAAGAAGAAGGAGAGAAAAAAAAAAGAAGGAAAGGATGCAAGCAGCGCAAGAGAGGGAGTATGGAAAAAGTGGATGGGGACGAAACTCGGAACGAAGGGCCTTGAGTGTCATATTATTTCAGGTTTGCATACGTTTCGTGTTTCAGCGTCGGCACACTCCCAAAGGAGTATTCATCGTTGCCCAAAATGGACGAGAGGAAACGAAGATGGAACCGCGTAGTCGGCGAAGTAAACGAGAAAGGATGGGACGAGTAGAGTTTCGTGGATATCTATTTGGAACCGTAATATCCTGTTATTATCGCATGCCGAGTATCAAATCGAAATACGTTCGAGCTGTTACCGATAAAGTTGTCGTCGCGATGAAAAACCACCCGTATATCGGCGAGGACCGCGGCCGTACGCGTGCAAGCCCACGCCGAAAAAGAATCTTCCTCGTTTTCTTCGAAAAGAATTAAAGGCAAATGATTGGAAGGATTGCGAAGGACGACCGCCGAACCAAGTGCTTGTCGCCGAAGCGTGCGACCAGTTTTGGCTGCCTATCGTACATTCCAATCGACAGAAAACACGATGGTCAAATGCGCGAAACAACTTCGTAAACGTTTCTTTCTCTCATTTTCTGCGCTCCTTTCTCTTCTTACTTCGTTCCTGTGATTGTTCTGCTTCTCCACCCTCTTGTTTTTCCCACAACGGCTTGAACGTTCATTTTCGTTTATATTTTTAGGTCGATTTGACAATGGTCAATGGCTTTAAGTTTGTGGAATCGATTGGTACTTAGATTGCCGATATTAATATGCTTCTTGTGTCTTACAGTAGCATATTATTGGTTCAAATGATTATATTCAGTAAAAATCTAGGAAATCATGAGGTATGTGCAGAATACTACGTTTATCGCCGTATTATCCTGTGAGACTTCTTATGATGCAACGTACGTTTCATAAAATTAGTTTTTAAATTGATAACTTAAGTTCTTGACACTTACGGAGAATGTAATGATTTAGGAAATATATAAAAGCCAAGACGAATTTAAATTTGACTGAGTAATATCCAATTGCATACAAAACATCAGATGATATTACATGATTTAACATCGATTCTCTTTTCTTTTTCGACTAATAAAAAATAATATAAGAGCTACTACATAATTTATTGTGCCTGTAAAGAAAAGTTAACCACAAAATAATATGGTACATTTACCAAATGCCACATAAAAACAATTGTAAAAATTGCGCGGTATTAAGTTACGTGAAAACGGTCGCGAAAGAATGTCAGGATGTCATGACAGCGAAACCCATTAATGTCATGTGAAAATGTAGCTTAACACTCGACAAACAATGAACATTTTTGCGATTCCTCGGTTTCTTTCGGCAACATTTCGACGCAAGGATAACGGGCTGAACAATGCTATATTTTCTCTAGCCAAAAGAAAGAAGTTTTACGACCACGCTTTAAATAGTAATGAAGGACATGACGGAGGAGAAAAGGTTTCCAGGACATTTTTTGTAAATAGTCATCGACGATATCTGTGACCATGGCGAGCATACATCGAAAATCTTTGACTTAAGTAAATAGGAAATATCGTTTTAGGGTTGGAAGGTCCCAACGAGCGATTTATTTGGATTGAACAAGAGAAAACACAAAAGTAGAATAATGGTGGTCAGTGGTAATGGTGATCAGTAACTATGCCAGTCATTATTACAGAATGAAATGTCTAAGATGTGCAACTGCTGGTGTTCGTTTTACATTTCTTGGCTACATTTCTGAAAGATATAAATTAGTGCAAGTATTGCTTGACTTTGTATTCCATTGACATAGTTTGCGTACATACCATAAATAATTATTAGTCATTTTTATACTTTTTATGCAATTTAATTTTATGCAAGGGCAAGTAATCGAATTTGGAACTGAACTGTGTATTATGATTCTCATCACTTTTATAGACTTATTTTGAACTTTCATTTATTTACCATTCTGTATACTATGACAGTTTAAAAGTTATGGTTCCTTTGAAATGATTACATAAACTTTTCATTGATATTTGTAGTTCAAAGTAGCTGATTATCAATGATTTGTGTTATTAATACAGTTTCTCTAATCAGTTATGTTGTATTACAATTATATATATGTAGAAGACTTGTGTAATCACTTTTCAAAATCCGTAAACTTCAAATTGATGACACCATACGGATGCTATTTTATAATATTTTTATACTCATCATTGAATCGTATTAGATTTTAGATGTGAAATCGGCCATTAGCACTGATATAATTCAACATATTTCAGAAGAGAAGTCGTTTAAAATTTGCAAGTTGTCTTGTTAATTATTGTGTATAATTAATATTCTATTACAAGTATTTCGATTTACCCGACAAAAATAGAAAAATAATTTTCGATAAAAGTAAATCTAAAATTGTTTTAGTTGTACCACTCAATTTCAAACAGCGATTTCAACAGTTTAATGATGTAAACGGTTCCTTCCTAAATATCTGATATACTTCAGTTTTATTACAATGATTGTTTAAGTAGCCACTGTTATCCCCTTTTACCTTATATGCGATTTTAACAGAGCATATAATGATAGTACGGCACGGTTACACGCTAACACCATTATCGGACACCAAACATTTCCGTGGTACTCTCCTACGACATGCTGCTCTACAAGCTGGTGTCCGAGGCTCAGAATGACATAGGGTTATTGCCATACCACAGGCTACTATCTGCTATCAGAGATCAGCTCGTAATTGTTACAAATCGTCCGACATGCTCGCAAACATTGATCCGCTCAGAAGTAGTTAGCTCTGAAAGGACTGCTCAACTACGTGTCGAATAAATTAACGTGGACGGATGAAATTTTGAAATTTCCGTAACTAGGACTCAACTTTTTAAACCCTTAACTGGTAATAAATGGTTACGCGGAAGGGATATTATCTTTAGAGTTATGACCTGCAGAAATA